GCGGAGAAGCCTGTACAAAATCACTTTCACCTTCCCCGGTGCGGCGGAGTAGCCGAGTTCTTTGACACCAAAGAGATCTTCTTCTCGCCAAAACTTCCCTCAAGACGACCCTTGAATCCGATGGTACTGAAGTGCAAGTTCGCCGGAGCAACCGTGTGAATATCCCCTCCTCACTCCCTTGAAATCCCCTCCAAGGATCTTCTCCCTCTCAAACTCCACCCTTTCCTCTCTCCCTTTCAAGTTCTCTCTTCTAGTTTTCTCCCAAAGAACGAAGACACAATGGCTGTCAAAGATACACTTTGTCATCCTTTTACACTCTCCAAGTGTCAGCAGAGAACCGGACCGATGTTTTTGAACTTCACTTGAGAGCCTTCAAAGGAGATGGAAAGAAACAAAGAGATCTTCTTCTTCAAGTAACCTTGTGAATCCCTCACAAACCCCTCACTTGATCTCTCACTCTTCACTCTTACAATCTCTCCCAAACTCTCACTCTTAATGATCCCTCTCAAGAGAAAATAACTCCAAAGGCACTTGTAATAGTTTCTAGGACTCCTTATATAGAAAGGACATGAAAAACCGCCCAAAAAACTGCTAAAAACATGTTTTTTTGCACACTGGATCATCCCGTATGAAATTGAGTTAGTACGGATGAACTGTGTAAAAACTGTCCCGTACGAACCATTTATGCATCTGTACGGTTGCAAAAAAGAGTTCTTATAACTGAAGTGTGAAGGATTCATAAGGTTAGTCAAAAGTGAGAATCTCTTTTGCTTTTATGTCAATTCTCTTTCTTTTTCTTTTTAGTTGCTGGAGAGAAAATCTATAGAGAAGATCTGATGCTCTATCGACACTTGGAGAGTGTGAAAGGATGATAGTACTCTATCGATAATTGGAGAGTGTGAAAGGATAATAGTACTATGCTGAAACTTGGAGAGTGTGAAAGGATGATGGTACTCTGCCAACACTTGGAGAGTGTGAAAGAATGATGGTACTTTATCGACACTTAGAGAGTATGAAAGGATGATGATACTCTTCCAACACTTAGAGAATGTGAAAGGATGACGGTACTCTGTCGACACTTGGTGGATGTGAAAGGATGACAACACTCTACCGCATCGGAGATTGGTGAAAGAGAGGAAAATTGTAAAGGCTTCTCCGCCTTGCTGTGGGGGAAAAAGGAGAGCCACTTTATTAATAATGCAATATCTGAAGAGAGAGTCGTCAGGGAGTGGTCGTAGGTCATATTGGATGAAACCACAATAAATTACTATATTTGTTTTATATTTTTGTATTTTATTTTTAGCATTTTGTGGTTGTAGTTAAAAAGCTTACTTTAAAAAGAAAATTAAATTGTGAAAATTATTAAACAGTTTTTATTCAAGAGGGATTTTTTAAAATAACAACTTCACACCCCCCCTCCCTCCCTCTAAGATAGCCTTGGGACAATTATGTAGGTCTAACAACATATACGGACTTTACAAGCTGTATTTCCTTTTTATTTTCTCTCAGTTTTTGTGATTTCAAAAGTGACGGTGGTAGTAGTAGTTTCGTTTGACATGATTAGTAGGCTTCTATATTATATTTGTACTGGGTCTTCCATTTTTAATTCAATATTAGTTTGGTTATATATATATATATATATATATATATATGTGTTTTTGTGTTTATTATAATACTTTAAAAATTAAAAAAAAATGGGAAATTTTGTTAATTAAAATGTATTTTTCTAAAAGATAATTAGAATTTTAAAAATTCAAATGTTTTTCCATAAAAACTAAAATATGGCATATAATGAGGGAGAACTATTCTTGGAATTAATTACTAACTTGAACATCTAACTTCTAAACAATAGTATTTGTCTTCATCGAAAAAGGAAAGATTTTTTAAATCTATGAGTTTGATCTATTATTTTGATGATTACAAATATTATTGGTTAGATCACTTTTTATTCTCTATAATATATATACAAATTTTTTTATACTACTAATATTTAGGTACAACATACAAGGAGCAAAGTCAAAGATGAGATCTCAAGAAATTATAGTATTAAGCCTAGTAAAAACTTGTAATAAGAGTTTGTGTCTAGTAAAAACTTATAATAAGAGTTTATATTTTTATTTCTTGAGTCTTCATGTATTTTGGCAAGAAAATTGAGCACACACTCATAAGGGGAGATAAAATTTAAGCACTTGAATTCTCTATTAAATAGTAATGTATGATTCTAATCATATTGTACAATCAATTATTTTATAAATTAAATCAAATATTTAATTAAAATCTATCATATCTAATCATATTATACGCTATGATCATACATGATGATCATTTATTTTGATTAATAATTGCTCAAAATTTAGATTCTCATAAATATAAAATTTGAAGTTCAAACTAAACATATTGTATTATCTTGATCATAAGGTTCAGTAGTAAAGAACTTGCATATTTTGATCCAAGAGTTAAGCAATATGTTTCAAGTTATATGATCAAAATCATCTAGTACGATCTACAAGAATATCTTGTATTTGAACCATAGTTCATCTAAAATGATCTTGATGTGATTCAACTTATTAAACTGTACTATTCATATCATATATTATGATTTAACAAATCTTAAAACTAGTTATTAAATAAATAAAAAAAATATGATCAATACTTTATACCATACAATCAATTAATTTAAATTGAAACTTAGTGTTTTATTTAAATAGCCTAATATGATTCATTTCATAATTAGTCTGTAAAGCTAATAAGTGTGTAGAGATGTTTTTCGTTGAGAGAGAGAGCCCTTTAGAGAGGGAGAGGGTTTCTCCTTTCTTGTGAGAGTAATCCAATCAGCTTAATAAAGTGAAGGTTAGATTGAGAGGTAGTTCCCTGAGGAAGTCAAGGGTTGTGTGAGCATGGTTGTCCTCGTTAGCTTACATCTTAGTCCTGCAGGTTGTGATTTGGAGTGCTTAGAGAGGAGCTCTAGGGAAGAAGTTTTTAGGCTAATGACTTCTAACTGACCAAAGAGGTTAGGCCAATAATATTTCCTTTGCTGCAAGGTGCATAAGGAGGGAGTTTTATCTTCACCATTGCGAGGAGCAAAAGTAGGGAGCAGTAACCACTGTGGAAAGTAAGAGGATGGTTTTAGGATTTTTGGGGGAAAAGGGCTTTTAAAGGTCATTCTCAACCAAGGAACGGAAAAGGGATTCTTCATCTTGCTAAGTGCATAAGGAGCATTTACTAGTGACCTTTCTTGTGTGAACAGTGGCCGAGTTCAATTGAACTGTAATAAAATCTTTGTTTGCATTTTTTCTTTTAGTACTTTATTTCTTTTAAATTTTACCATCTTAAATTTTTTATTTAAATAGTTGTTATTATATTCAAAAAATAACTTTAGAATAAACTTTTTAAAAGCTTTCTGTTAATCAAAATCTTAATTTCTACTAATAAGAAACTAATATTTCCCTACACATTTTTTTGTCCTTTAATTTAATTTAAATTTCTAATTCAAACCCCTGATTGTGCTACAATACTTTCAATATTAAAGTAGCACAGAATCTACTATAATCAACCAAGAACTAAAAAAAGTTCACTTAGAAGGTAAAAGATACAAAATAGTCCTCTTGATCCCTTATTTAAAGGATTTTGAGGGCTAGAAATAAGGATATATCAAAGAAGTAAAATGTACAACACTAAAAAGTACACTTTGAACACATATCGCCTTCGGGTTGGTTGAGGGAGATTAAGAGTTAGAGTTATAATAAGTTGTCTCTTAGTGAGCTCTATATTCATGTGCATGAATGGGTGAGTTTGCAAGCGTGTGTTGGGGAAGGTGAGCTCCACGATTGGGCATCAACTTGTAACTGTGGGCAACTTATGTAGGTTATTGAGCATGTGAGCTCAACGGTCTGTCTTGGTAGGGCCAAATGATGGCTCAATAAGTAGGACTTTCCTTGGCTGAGCTTGATGAGAATGATTACTCTGGGAGAAAGCCAGTGGCCAAGAGAGCAATCGTGGCATGTGGTGAGCATTGAGTCTCTTGCTTGATGAGAAATCTTCGATCCACTTGAAAATGGGAAAACTCCTTAATGGGCCCCAGCGAGTAGGTATGTTGTTCATGTTAGGCGAGATCTCTAATAGTTTCTAACAGTTGCCCATTTTGGATAGTTAGGCAAGTTCCTACTATGGTTCCACTTCATGGTTAGCTCCTCCGTCATACCCATGAGCTATTTACTAAGTACTTGTGAAGCCATATGCGAGTATATGTAATCGAGCTAGCAATCACAAATGTAGTCGGTTCACAAATTCATGAGTCTAAACATTATTAAAAAAATTGTTAATGCATATCTAATGTTATCAAAGAATTATGGTTTGCAAATATTCATTTTTTGACTAAATGTTATTAAAACATGCCAAGTTATTTATTTATTTTTTAAAATGTAATATTTTTTTTATGTCGTATGTTTTGACATAAATCCATAAATAAGTTACTAGTGGTCTTTTAGAGGCATATGAAATCATTATTTTTCTAGCAATTGAAAATCATAGAGTTTCTTTTTCTAATATCTCTTACTTCTTTTTTTTATTCTCTCATTTTTTATTTGACATTTTTGAAAGGTTGTCCATTCACATTTAAATTCAACATCCCAAAATAAAGAATTTATTAATTAGATTTTATTTGGAATAAGTTTTTTACTGATTTCAAAAGTATCTTTTTAGCATAAAAATTTCATGAAAAGAGCAAAAAAAAAAAAAAGTGACAATAAAACTGTTGCAAATAAAGTTTTAGTCTTTCATGAACAGAGTTAAATAATGCTCTTTGATTAATATATTAAAAAAAGAACTGTCAAATGCAATTCTTATTTCTTTCTGAAAATATGCGGTGACAGCAGTTCCGGTCTCGAGTAATATTTAAAAAAGCCTTTTGGTAAGCAATTTTTGTCTCCGTAACAATAGAAACTATTTTCCTATTTATGGAATCCCCCATCCCTCTCCCCTTCTCCCCACCACTCTCTCTCTCCATTTCTTTCCAGTTTTCTGCCCTGCGATAAGCTCGCCGGAGGAGTAGCGCAGCTTTGGACTTCTCCGGCGGGGCATTTGATTTCTGGGCATCCAGTCAAACCCCTTGACGGTGCGATCACACACCCTCGTCATCGCCTGCTACATCTCCACCGTCGATTCTTTAACACAAGTAAGTCAGCTCCGTTCTCACTCCACTGTCGCGTCAGCATTAGCTTTCTTTACCCGCGGTTCATACTGCTTTTATCCAAGTTGCATCAATCCTTCTGAGAGTGATAGATGAGCACACTGTGTTTCACTTTCAATTAGTACTATTAGATTCAAAAAAGGGCAACCAGATGCTAAACAGAGGGAGTAGCTGTAATTGCCTTTGTTCAGAGACACCTATAATTGTGACCCCAATTTGAACCATTTCTTTTTTTTTCCTGATATAAAACCTGGGTGGATAGAATAAATTAGATGACTTTTTTGAACCATTAAATGCGTACGTGGACCAGATTCAACACAACTCTTAGGCTGACCAAACTCCCACATGAATTCCTAAAATTTTTGAATTCGCCAAAATATATATATATATGAAACATGACTTATTATATATATATATATAAATTATTCAAAATATAATGTTATTTTTCTGCTATGATTTTAAAAATAAATATTAATTTATCGACGTATATTCCTCAATATTTCCTTAGAACTCCTGCGTGTCTTATAAGAAAAATATTCTTTATACTAAAGCTTTATTTGGCCAAATGGTTTTCTTACTCTTTTTTAAAGTAAATTTTTAATTATAAAATTAAAATTTTATATTGAAAATTTATTTTAAAAAGCAATAGAAATTTATTTTAAATAAAGCCTAATTCAACACAACATGTATATTTTAAGTGTATATATGAGGCATGATATATATGGCCACTTTTATATAATAATATTAACACACAATGTGTTATACGTTGAGTCTGTGAGCGTACAACATGGCTTATTTTGAAAAACGTAAAGGTAAAGCTTAACCCATCAACTAAATTAGGTTTTCACGTCTTCTGTACCGATGTGACAAATAATCTTTATTGTACATACAGAACAGAGATGGAGAGAACTTGAAATGTTTTATGCGAATAATAATGCCTAATATATGTGGCCAAAAGATTTCCCTTCAACAATTTTTTACTTAGATATTACATAAAAACAAATATACATATATAAAAAATACTTGAGAAGCTTTCTTAATTGTTGTCATATCGATAAATAGAATCTCTAGTCATCTATAACAATGGGAACAGCAAATATGACATATCACGTGTATTACTTACAGAAAATTGGAAAAATATTAAAGCTGCCTACTAGTGGTAGGTCACTCCTATGTCTTTGCAATTTCGGTGTGGCAAATTAAATATTGATATGAGGCATATCATTGATATCTTATTGTATATAAATCTGGGTCGGTTCAGTCCTTTGACATGTGAATAATGCACCTTAAGAAGCTAAGAGAAAGGACAAGTGAGGAGTGATCAGATAGCATTTGAAGCTATGTTTTACATTTTGAAGCGAAGACAAGAGATAATCTTGCATGAACTTAGTGAGGCTCAAAGACCCCTTTACATATATTTTACTTTACCCCTTTTCAAGAGGAAGCGGCGACTCAAATGGCATCTAATGCATGCCTGTAGAGAAACAGACTCTTGCAGATTTTAGTGTGGTGCTGCGATCAATTTCCGGAAAAGGATTAGGCAACTAAAAGTAGTCTGCGATTTCAATTTACCTTAACCCGAAAGATACCTCAAACATAGAAATTTTGCGGTGGACCATACTACATTGCTGAATTTTACTTCCCATGGATTACTTGTTTATTTATGTATTTTTATTTATTTTAATGTAAATCTTTTTTACTTTAGAGCTAATTCTTATAATTTTCTTTTTCATATGTATGTTTTTTTTAGAATTAGCATTAATAATACATTGACTTTTAGATATGTACATGTAATAAGCATTTTGTTTTAGAAATTAGGTGATATGAAAAAAATCAAATTTATGTTACTTTAATAAAAGCAATTTTCTTATAAGAGTAGAATGTCATTTTTCTTGGTAAGATTTTTTTTTTTCTTTGATAAGCCACATTAATGTGAATGAATGAGAAAATAAGATGAGCTTTGATGATATTGTTATTTCCTTTTGTATGAGATTAAGTCTTTTTTTTTTTTGCCAAAAAAAATTTAATAATTACAAATCATGATTACTTTTTTTTGGTCAAAAATAAATCTCAAAATTTATTTTTCTTTGCAAAAATGATGGAGGAGCAACATCTTGCAAATATAGAAAAAAATTATTTTTTACCTAGTTTTTAAATGTTGAAGGAAAATAATACATTAATAATTAATGTGCTTGAACTTTCATTCTATTGTAAATGTCAGAAATTTAAGATTTGGTTTGAAACAACTTTTTTTTTACTTGTTAAATTAACCTTTTAGTACTAAAAAATTACTTTACAATGTAGTAAATTAAAAAGTTGTCTTAAAAGAAACATAAATAAAAGATGACCTTATGTGTATAAATAAGACCTCTTTTTTATTTCTTTGGCTTAGTTGATGGAATTACTTGATTTAGTATTTGCTAGTTGTAAAATATATCAAGTTGTCCTTAATAATATTGAGATAAATAAAGTAGAATTTAAAAGAGATTTTATTTATATATGCCCCATAATCCATGAAATGATGAAATATGCTTCAAAGCTTTCTGAGGATCAAAATTCCCCTATAGTTTGAAACGTACATTTCTTTCTTGAGGTATCCTAGACTAAAATTGACTCGAACAAAGCACAATCAAGCTAGAGATCATATGTGATAAAAAAACTTGGTTAATGACCAAACTCAATTTCTGTAAAATGTGCTCCTAAAAATCAGTTGGATCGAAGCCATTTTACCATATCAATAGTAGGTGTATTTTCAATATTAGTTTTTGTGATTGTATGTTAGCAAGTTTATCATTGATTTTTGAGAACACATATGATGAAAACAACAACATATCCAATGAAAGCAGCTCATTCATAGACATAGAAATACCTTTAAAGCATTTCTACATGCATAAGAGCTAGCATTTGCTTTCCTATTATGTTGTGTGCTTACCTATTATGTTTAAAATAACAATATCATTCACCTCAAATGGCTTAAATTGCCGAATATTTTTTTCATCACATTCTTAAATCTATATGCAACCAGTGCATACATCTATATGTATATTAAGAAAACTCAAATGCGTGCAAAAGAAGTAAATTTGAACTTTGTTCAATGTTTCATCCATTACATTACTAAAAAACTGACTATGCTTCAAATTTGATCGAAGCTTCTTCGGGTATTTTTCAAAACTTGTTTTGAACATTGAACAAAACACTTTTTTAACTTTAGTTTAATAATATTTGGCATATGTTCAATGCTTTTTCAACTATTGTTAAACCTTGATTATTACATACAAGCATGTATCAAATAAACTGCGATCCTTGTTGGAAAATACTGAACATGTATTGATTAAGGTCAAAATAAGTTTCTAGTAATGTTCGAAGCTATTAGTCTTGTATATATATAATGCCCTTCTAGCAAGCTTTAAAGATTTAAGATTTAAATAGATAGCATCAATCTCTAAATTTCAACGACAATCATCAGTTTTTCGAAGACATTCAAAAATGTTGTATTGGAACTTTGCTTCACAAGCATCAATCGCAAACGAGAATTGTCAAAAAGAATATGGTAAGAAAATACAAGGGGTTGTTGGTGTGCAAAATGTCGTTTTTATAAACTAATGTATGCTTTCTAATTTCGAGGTCATTTTGATCCGAATGAAAATTTAAGACATGTTTTTTAACCCTAAACATATTTCTTTATTTTTTGGCATTATGTGGTATATAAAGTCAGTTTTCCCTTAAAAAATATAACAGATACTTTTTTAACTTCCTTCCTAGACTTTTTTTACTCTCTTTAATGCAACTGAGCAACATATATTATACATGTTTTCAAACTGGTAGAAGCGATTCCCCATACAACTTTTGTCAAACTTTCATGCCGGCCTCCATAAGATTTACCACACGCTCCCAACGTAAAACTTCAGATTTAAATAGAAGCCAAGCTCATGAACTTCTTGCAAGGCTTTAAAAGCAAAGTCATTGTTCCGAAACTCTCTAATGAGGCATCGAAGGGAAGGCGAAGCCAGAAGAAGGCGGCAGCTAAGCGGTAGCCACAAGGAGGAAGAAGCAATCAAGTACTCAGAGACTACTTGTTCATGCAACTCATGTGCGGCTGCAGCGCTCGCTGATATTATAGCCGTTAGCTGCTGCCCTTGCGCTGTTTTGAACTTCTTGGCTTTGGCCTTTTTCAAGCTTCCCTGTGCTGCGGGCAGGAGATGCATGCGAATTGTGAAAAGGAGTAGGGGAGCTTTGGAAGAAGTTGGGGGTGCAGTGAAAAGGGAAGGATTGGAGAATAAAAATGTAGAGTTGAGGGTGGAGAGTGTAATGGGAATGGAGATTGGAGATATGATGGAGGAGAGAGCTTGGAAGGAGATGTATCAGGTTGGGCAATGGGGTTTTGGGAGAGTTTCTGTATCTGGTTCCGAAGCCTAGAGTAGTTATGTTCAGGAGGAAGAGAATCTTTTTGCAAAAAATTGTCAGTTTATTTAGGGTTTTTTTTACTGGCGTTCGTATAGATTAATGCAAAGCAGGAAAGCTGCAGATTGTGTGGGCAACGAAGAAATATTTTATGTAATGGCTTTATTTATTTGTGTACTTATGTTGAATAGTGTCTGCTTTAAAAAAATTCTTGTATTGATTATTTATTTCAATCGATGTTCAGCACTAACGTGGATGTAAGAAGAACTCCATTGGCTCATGCTCAGAACTAACGTGGATTTTACCACTCTTCTTTTCGTTTTTTTATTATATATTTGTATATACTCCACCATTTATAAAAAAGAAAATTAATTGAATCTCATTTTATATGTGGAATAAGCAAATTTGAAGCAATTGTTTATTTAAGCTTCATTTGGAATGATTTGTATGCTTCTTAAAATATTTTTTTATATAAAAAAAAAATTTTAAAATCTGTAAGAAGCAGGAAGAAAACCGTCTCAAATGAAATTTTAATTTAAGAAGAATTGTATTAGTCTACCTCTTCATGACTTTATGTAACACTTTTTTTTGTCATTCTTTTCAAGAAGCACTTTTTTTTCTTTTACTTCTCATGTTGATAACTAATTCTATTTAGATTTTGTTTTATTAGCATGTTGGTGAATTTAATTGTGGCTACTGTTAGAACGTAGTGAGCTCAAACTCCAACTTATCCCAACTATGTGGCCATAAGGTCTTGCACCTTATTTTAAAGCCTCGCACCTTATCATACACAATGCTTTTCCAATTAAAATGTGTATATAAAAAAAAAAGTTAGAAGTACCGGAAAAGCTCAACTACTATACACAAGTTATCTATGACAAAATTAAGTAGCTAATATTAATAGATATTAAAATGGGACCTACACTTTTTGGTTCCAAGCAGCTATGCCTTTTATTTGGCATATTATTATTGAGATATGGTCCCTACATAAAAGAAAAAATTACGATGGCCATATATCTAGCCCCTACAAAGGAAAACATTTTAATCTAACATAGAAAATTAGAAATATAATATGCATCAAAATAAATTATTTAGTGAATCCAGTCGAGAAGAGTCAAAGGGAGTTTGTAGCAAATTATCCAACTACACCCTATCCCCATGCCAATCGAGCATCTATGTTTGTTTATACCACATCACCTAGCATGTGCTAAATTCAAACAATATTAATTAAGTGTCAATGCATATAGGTATGGCAAAGCTGACAGGCTAGCTTGTCTCAAGATTCCAAATAAACTAAGGATTTTTTTTGGGATAGCTTCTTTGCTGCTTTCTAAAATATTTTTCTAGTACAAAAAAATTCTTGAATTAGAAATTTTTATACTAAAAAATAGTTTTACAAAGTAGCAAAAAAGCTATCCCAAATAAAGTCTAAGTCTTATCACCTTAACCCTTTTTGATTTCTTAGGTTAATATCAAAACTAAATTTTAATAGTATTAGAAGAGGTTTTCAGAATTAAAAGGTATTAAAAGTTTAATCATACATAAGGTCTATATAGTGGATTTCACTTTAAAATATTAACGGTGACATGCTTTAGGATATTTGCAACCCTTAATAGTTATACATTTTTTTGTTAAAACCCGCTGTGGAGCCTACGCGTTAATATCAAAAAATCGGTTACACAGTCCTTAGAAAGATCTTCCAGCTCGCTACTGCTCGAAAGAGCTACATGTAAAAATGAAAACAAAAAGCCTATGAGCCGGTGGATCTTTTACTACGAGTACAAAAAGAACCTAAATAACCACTTGGGCTGTGAGTAGATAACACCCAAAAAAGGAAGAGCAGAATAATCTCATTCAGCACAGTCTTCCTGCAAAAAATGAAGACGATAATAGAAAACGTAGTGCGAAAAATAAAACAAGAATACCTTGCGGTCATTAAAGCTCAAAAGTCGATACATCTTAAGATACCTGCAAGGAATTCTCCCAAAAAAGGGTGTGAGAAATATAGTAATAAATAGAAACTAAATACCCAGTATTATCATTGTTAGAACAGAACTTAAAAAAATCATAAGAACACCTCAACTTGCCCTACAAAAACCAGAAAGTCAAACTAAAGTTCCAAACAGCCTTATCAGACACATGGGAGGCCACCATACTAATAAAGTACATAACACAGAAAACCTTCCTCCAAAGCCAACCAAACCACTTGAAATAGAAAGCATAACAGTAATCGTTAATCCAGACCAAAACATTCCCACCAGCATTACTATTATAAAATAAAAACCAAGTATAAAAATTATTCCAGTGCTTTGTATGGACATTAGCCCCAAAACACAAAAACAACAAAATTAAACCAGCCCCAACACCTGTAATAGGTTAACCAAACTAAATGATTAACAAACCCATGCAGGTGACCATAATAATTAGACTTGAAAATGTGGAAACTAGCAAAATAAGAATATATAGCTAGTAGGACCAGAATTAGCATAATTAGCCAGAACAAAAATGAACATCCCGGTAAGAGAAACAAACTGCTCAGACGAGCAAGCCACAGTAACCCCACACATAGAATGCACATAGATATTAACCATGGTAATATTATGCTAACAAATAGATTGCTGCCACCAAATAGGATAGTATAACATCTTAAACCCCAACCCTGGATTACCATAAAACTGCAGAGGAACAAGATATAAACCCCAGGCCTCATTTAAACCATCCATCCAGGAAACATCCCAAAAAACAAAATAGATGTCGCCAGTATCCATCAAGCTTAAAATAAACACGTAAGAGTCAATAGAAAAATGAAGAAAGCTAAACCCAACCCAGCAAACCTTCCAGAAATTGGTAAACCATATCCGGATCCAGCTAAAAACCAGAAACACAGACGAGACAGACATCCAAAAACCAAAATACCCACTAGCCAGATGAAATATGGTCTCAAACATTCCGAATGTAAGACAAAATAGCTTTATCCAAATAGTCCATATCTTTCAAAATAGGGCTTAAGTTCCCAATATTCAATTCTTCATAATTATGCATAGAACACCTTTTTTTTGCTAACCAATCAGCACGCACGTTAGCTTCCCGGTAAATGTGTGAAATTAAGAAATTAACAGAAGTAAGACAGCTTAATTTGCCTAATTAAATAAAAATTTTGAGGGTTACCAGGAATAACATCGTTAATGATTTGAATAAGAAGCATAGCATCCGGCCACCTCAATCCACACATTAGTGAAACCCATCTTTTTGAAAATATTCAAACCATAGTTTAAAGTCATAAGCTCAGCCGTAATGGCATTGGAACAATGTAAAAGGGCAGCATACGCAGCCAACACACGCCCAGAATGGTCTCTAAGAAGACCACCAGCACCCGCAGTATTAGCACTAACAGAACCATCCGAATTAAGTTTCACATAAGGAGGCTTAGGTTTAATCCACTTAACAATTTTCTCAACAGAAAAAGCATTCCCGTTGTTGACAGCAATACCAAAGACACTAGTCAAATACTTGCAATGTTTAAAATTCTGAACAGTAATAATGTTATAAGAGAAAGCTTACAAAATTTTATAGCGAATATTAGAAATAATCTGGGAAGCATCCATATTAATAGCATTGTGCTTAGCATCATTTCTAGCCTTCAAAATATACCAAAAAATATGGATAGGAATAAAATTAAATATATGGCCTTTAGAAACATTAGCCCAATGCTCAAGAATAGAAATAACATTGTTATGATTAAAGTTAAAGCTTTTTTTGGCAAGATTATTGAAGTAAGACCAGACTTCCTGGGCAATAGCACCATTCACAAAAAGATGGTCAATACTCTCTACATTGGAACAACATAAACATTTAGAAGGCATAGAAAAACCTTTTTTTTTTAAGCATAACATCAACCGGAAGATATCCTTCAATACATCTCCAAATAAGAATAAAATACTAGAGAGAAACTTATTGTGCCAAAAAGCCGAATAGATCATCTCACTATGCTTTTTAATTTTAAAATTTTCCAAAATGTCCTTCAACTGAAACTTACCAGACGAAGAAAGAGTAAAAAGCATTTTATCTTTACAGTGAACCTGTAAAGGAATTTTCAAAATAGTTTCAACAATATCAGAAGGTAGCATTTCCCTAAGTTTAAAAGCAATCCAACAATTATTATAAATGAAACTATAAACTTTAATATTGGAAGTAGAGTGAGTATTGAGAAGAGAATCAATAGAAGAATAGCCTAACAAGTTATCTTGCCAAAAATAAATGTCACCTTTGCCCAAACCCCATTGAATAAATTGTTCGGCTTCCCATTTAATGTTGCAAAGTCTTTTCCAAACCATAGAATCACCATTTTTGTAAAAGCGTAAAGTTGGATGCATGTTGTTGCAATATTTAACATTCATGTAACGAGCCCATAAACTAACATTATTTCTAAAGGAGAACCACAGTTTATGGGAAAAAGTTTTGACAGTATCTTTTAAATTTTTGCAACCAAGGTCCCCTTCAGTCAAAACACCACAAAGCTTATCCCAAGATGACCAACGTAAACCATTGCTATTGAACTTAGAGCCCCAAAAAAATTTGTTTATAATTCTCTCTAATCTAGAACAAGTAGCATCAGAAGGAAATAAAGTATGAAAAAGATAAATCGGAATAGAGTTTAAAACAGACTTAATAAGAACTAATCTACCACCATAAGACAAAAAGTTAGTAGACCAATATGATGGGATTATTTCTATTATCATATGAACCATGTCCTAATAATGGTGGTCATTATATCATAGCCATAGGCCAACCCTAAAATTAAGGATTAGACTTACTCATTCAAGCAAGTGTTGGCTCCTTTGCATACAAATAAAATATGAGTGAGATGATTTAGATAGTCAAACATCTAACTAGAGAATTACATGCTTAAATATATCTTAATTATTCAAAAGAATAAATGTTTTAAGCCTCTAAAGATGGTTTTGAATGCTTTGAGTGCAAAGTGAAAAATTCTGAATGGGTGGGACAATATAATTCCTTACTAGATATGGAATACTAAGAAATCATTTTAATGATAGGCATAGCTTAATATTTTGATAAAAGTAGTATATTGAAGTAAAGGAGATAACAATTGGTTTTGTCCAAAAGACTATGACAAAAGCAAGATAGGGATCTTGGAAAAAAAGAATGACTAAACTAAGAAA